TGAGTGATCGTGTCTCTGAACAATTAGTATTACTCAAGTTTTAAACAATGAAAAACAATCACTGAAGCAGCAATAAAAGGATCCATAAGTCGCTTATTTGGACATTACATGTAGCCCATTTATTTTTCTTTTCAACATTCAACTGAACCAGCAATATTGGAACAAAATAGTCAATAAGTAATTACAAAAAAAGATTATAAATGATACAAAACATTCATTGCCCAAACTTGCAGTATTTGAACGATTGCTACATGATGGTGGACCATATACATTTATTTCTAAGATGTTTACTTTGTTGATAAAAGAATGTCCTAAACCAGCCGTGTATCGGTCTAAAGAAAGTTGGAAGTCAGACTTAAACACTACAATTGAAGATAATTTTTGATCAGATTTATGTCAAGATGCCACCATCAGTGCTCAATATAGACGTAGACACTATAATTTCCTTCATCAATTATATCTAACTCCAGACAAAAATCAAGACAAAGACAAAATCAAGACAAAAACAGATTTCTCTGATCAATGTTTCCAATGTTCTGTAGAATTGGGCTCATTTTTGCATTGCACCTGGACATGTGTGAAAGTAAAATGTTCCTGGTTTGACTTTTGCCAAGCAAAAGTATCCACAATCACAAAAACTTTGATACCTCTTGATCCTGAATTTTGCCTGCTTGGAAATTTTGAGAACATTGAACTATTAAATAAACACAAAATATTTTTTTTGGGAAATCTCATTGGCACTGGCAAGAAAATACATCGCAGTCACCTGGAAGTCTAATTCTCCCCTCCCATTACAAGATGGTACTCAGAAATGAACAGCTGTGTGCCTTTGGAAAAAATCACTTACAGCTTCAGAAAGGCTTATAATATTTTTTGTTAGATTCTTGTTAGATTACCGTATTTTCTGCACTATAGGGCGCTCTGGATTATAAGGCGCACTGTCATTGAATGGTCTATTTTCAAACTTTTTTCACAAATAAACCGCACCGGACTATAAGGCGCATTAAACGAAATAAGTCAGTCAAACTTTATTTAACGCATTCACAATAACTCTCAACTTATTTTATTTATAATAAGTCATAATTGTTCAAACAGTTGGGTGATTACGGCATCCAGCACGCCCGCATCCCTCTCGTCATTATCCGAGTCAGTGTGGTTACTGTTCCCTGACAGTTCAGTGATGATTCTGGTCTTGGTGAAAGTTCGGACCACAGTTGATACTGATCCTTAGCCCGGACGTCCACGATCCATTGGCAGATCGTGGTGTAAGTCGCTCGGCGCTGTCTCCCTGTCTTGGTGAATGTGTGTTCTCCTTCTCTCATCCACTGCTCCCACGCAGCTCGCACTTTCACTTTATAACAGCCTTGAGTTTAAAGTCGGTGTTGTGAGCGTGTCTCTTGACAGGTGCATTTTGATATTAAAAGGAATCACAGTATGTATTACTCCTGATGCTCCTGACTACAGGAGCCATAATGCTGCAAGTGGTGCGGCTTTGTAGTTTACTAAAGTCGTACTAAGACACTCAAATAAATTCATATATAAGGCGCTCTGGATTATAAGAAGCACAGTCGTTTTTGGATGAAATTGAAAGCTTTTAAGTGCGCCCTATAGTGTGGAAAATATGATATGTTACTATGTGAATGTCACCTCAAATGACCTCTGTCTGTCTATGTGAACTATTGTGTGAAGCATCCTCCCTTTTTTGTGTGTTTGGTGGTGACAGGGTGGGCATGGCGTTTTTGGTTTTCTACTGTTTTCTTTTTTGTGTATTGTATAACTCAAACAACAAAGCAAAAATAAAATACTGCCAAAAAGAGATAGGTGGGCCTGTCTGTGTTTTTGTAGTGTGTTCCAGTCAGGAGGAGAGTGCAAAACTATATTACAGACCTGCATGCACATCTCAACAAGGTGACCCAATAAAAAAAAAAAGTAAGAAATCTCTAGTCGCGACCTAGTCTTTGTTAAACAATAGTCTAGAGCAAAGGTGTCAAACTCAGATTCACAGAGGGCCACATTTAAAAACTGGGACTAAGAGTTGGGCCAAACTAAATATTTATTGAAAATGATTGCAGGTTGGCAGCCTCACTTCTGGCAGTCTGTCCCAGGGCAGCTGTGGCTACAATAGTAGTTTACCACCACCAGGTATGGAGTGACTGAATAATGATCTGTAAAGCGTCTTTGTGACATATGTCTGTGAAAAGCAGTATATAAATTAAAACTTACTTGCTTACTTACTTTAAACCTGAAATAATGTTGGAGTAAATGCTGTTCAAGAGATATGTCTAAGGATAATGAATGACATAAATCAATAAACAACAAGCCTAGAGTTTTGTTTCATAGCTGACAGTTTGGACTGCTCACTAATGGTCTTCCTCAGAGTCACATGATGTTGCTGTGACGTGTCGGTCAGCTGATTTAAACAGGTTTTGGCGCTGTCTTCCTACCGGTGGAGGCAGGACGACAGCGCCATCTGCAGTCAGACTTCTTCAGGACAGTATCCCAGGTGTGTGAGAGTAAAAAAGCCCCCTTGTCCCGGACTCCAACCCACTCCATAATGGTCAGAAATGGCCGATTTGAGTTCTTCCTGTTCTGCTTTGTGTTTTGTTGCTCGTGTGCACACCTGTCTGTGTTCCTTTTTTCGTGTACTTAACGCCTTCCCTGTTTCCACGATGTATGTTTTATTGCTGGACATGCAGAGTATTTCGTATATGACATTACATTTATGCTCCGGTGTAATGTCATATACGAAATACCCTGCATGTCCTGCAATAAAACATACATCGGGGAAACAGCGAAGGCGTTCACACGAGCAACAAAACACAAAGCAGAACAGGAACAACTCAAATCTGACCAATTGTAAAAGAGAGAACCACATTATGGACTGGGACAAAGCAAACATCATTGGGACAGAGGAAAACAAACATCGCCGCTGGATTAAAGAGGCAATCGAAATACGGAAACGTGCCCGCGGGACTATAAACCAGGACGAGGGGGCTTTTTTACTCTCACACACCTGGGATACTGTCATGAAGAAATCGGACTGCAGGTGGCGCTGTCGTCCTGCCTCCACCGGTAGGAAAACAGCACCAAAACCTGTTTTAATCAGCTGACCGACACATCACAGCAACATCATGTGACTCTGAGGAAGAGCGCTAGTGAGCAGTCGAAACTATCAGGTATGAAACAAAACTCTAGGTCTGAAAAAAGAACCTACACAGCAAAAACTGGAGGGTCAAAATTTTAGGGTAAAATATTTCAAAGTAGTTTTTAACACCAAAAGTGTTATTTTAACTATTTGAAAGTTAAATGGGGGTTTTAGCTGGGGTTATTTGTCAGAGTTGATGTGGTTGAGGTTAATTCAACTTCCTCTAGTGTTAATTCAACTTCCTTTAGTGTTAATTCAACTTCCTCTAGTGTTAATTCAACTTCCTCTAGTGTTAATTCAACTTCCTCTAGTGTCAATTCAACTTCCCTTAGTGTTATTTTAACTTTTCTTAGTGTTAATTTGGCTCCTCCCATTCACCACTTCAAACTCTTGTGAGAGAAGACCAGTTTGAACCAGTTTTGTACATAATTTCATCTTAAATTAACTAAAATAAAGTAAAAATAAAATAAAACACCTATGTGTGTTGTTTAGCTAAATCAGGATAACTCTACAAAGTGTTATCTGTTTACTCTCAAAACATTAATATAATTCTGGATTTCGGGGTTAAACAGGAACTTTGGTCCAGTGTTACTTAATTAACATTTCCAAAGATGTTAAATGAACTCTAGAACAGATTGGACTCATATAAACTCTGAGAAAATGTTAAAGTTGATTCTGTGAGAGTCAATTTTAACACTCCACTTTTTGCTGTGTAATAACATAAAATATCAGAAGACCAAATGAACCTAATAAACTAATAAACACCATGCATAATACATGAATAGAATCAAAAGCTCAGAGTGTACTAAGAGTTGGGCCAAACTAAATATTCATTGAAAAATTTCAACAACATCTACATGTTTTCTGTTCCTTCGAGATGTAATGTTATACCTTTTCTTATTAAATTAATATCTGTAGCCGGCGGGCAGCTCTAACACACATTTGATTTGATCTCGCGGGCCAAATATAATTATATCGCGGGCCAAATTTGGTCCCCCGGCCTGAGTTTGACATATCTGATCTAGAGCGTTAGTTATGTCCATTTCTGCGTACAGTCTTCCAAACGAATAAAAGGTGACACGGTGATCCAAATACGTGATGTGTTAGCGGTTAATACCCCTCAGAAGTAAAATACGCTCCCTGTCAGAACTGGGCCACATCGGGGTCTGAATCAACCGAACGGAAAACATGACTAAAGCAAATGAAAACCAGATCTAAACCGGGCGTGAAATCAAACAAAACCGAAGCATCTACGCAGGTTTGAGCTAAGACTAACTAAAACTGGAGTAAAAACGCTTCACAAACGGTTGGTGTTCCAAATATCTCTGTTCTGTCTTCTGTTGAGGTTAGAGGAGAGAGAGAGAGGGAGCGGACAGAGAGAGAGAGAGAGAGAGAGCATTTCCCGCATGCCTCGCTCGCCCCGCGCTCCTAGCCCCTCCCACTATGTGTATGCCTGTCGCCGTGGTAGCCCTCCTCTTCTCTCTCTCCTTCATGCGCTGCAGACAGCTCCTGCACACGCGACCTAACTCTCCGGCAACGGGAATTCTCCACAGCCTTTACTGTTGGCGTTCCGTAATCCTAAACAGCTCCATTTTTTTTTTTTTTCCTTTTCTTTTTTTACATTCTGACAAAAAATAGATCCTGCTCATTATCACTTTTGATTTATTTGATTGTGACAGTATACTGAGTGAACTTTGTCTTCATTCACACACCAATCTACAAATCTACTTCTATGGAATTTCTGGAGTTCCGGAGAATTTTGATGTGATTTTTATGATTTGTTTTGTTATGTTTTGATACACCTGCTTGCGTTCTCGAAGGCATTCCCCGCAGGACTTTAATGGAGCGTGAAATTTTAAGGTGCAAAGTAACAATGGAAGTGCAGCCAGCTCTTGACATATTTGGCACAGTGCGACAGGTAAGGATTAAAATGTTGTTTTTGTTGTTTTACGCTTTTAAATTTTTTGATTTTTAAGTTCTATGTTACACAAAATTGACTCTTCTGAGCTTTAATCTGTGTTTTAATGCTCAAAAACATACCCTGAGTTGTGTTTTGTTTCATTCACTCACCCTTTATTATTAGTCTGTTTATATCTCCAAATTTCAAAATGCTCTGTTCCACCTTGTGATGTCACGAAGCAGTAGTTTCCAAGTTAACAGCAGCTACTTTTTGCCTTTAATTCAGTAGATATTTTGGCAATTCCTGGTCTGAAATTATCCACCTGATTCTAGTGAAGGTGTATGGAGTGTAAAAACGCAGTGGAGCACTTCCTGTATCACTACATGACATCACAAGGTGGAACAGAGTGTTTTCAGGTTGAAAGAACAACTCAGTCTAAATTTGAAGTTTTTTTTGTGTGTGTTTTTAACATGTGTGAAGGAAACAAAACACGGCTCCAGGTATTTTTGTGATGAGGAAACAACATTAGAACACAGATCAGAAAGAAGTGTAAAAGATCTTCTAGTTTGGAAGTAAAAGCTAAAAACAATCAGAACATCGAAAGCTTTGGTCTTATTGCAATGGTGCACTTGGAATTTTGAAGGAAATGTTATTCAATAGATATGGCTCTGGACTAAGAACAATGTCAACAACAATGAAAGACAAACAAGCAGAAATAATTTGTAAAGTCTTATCTTATAGAATATAAATTTGGATATAGATTTGAATATAGATTTGTAAACCTTATAGAACATAGAAGGCATTGGTCTTATGTCAGTTTTCAGTATGAAAGTGTGTGTGTGTGAGTGTTGGTGGTGGTCAGAGGGGCCGATGGCGCAGATTGGCAGCCTCGCTTCTGTCAGTCTGTCCCAGGGCAACTGTGGCTACAATAGTAGTTTACCACCACCGGGTCTGAAGTGACTGAATAATGCTCTGTAAAGCATCTTTGTGACATATGTCTGTGAAAAGCAGTATATAAATAAAAACTTACTTACTTACTTACTATACTGCAATGGTAAACTTGGAGCTCTTTAAACCTGAGCAAATGCTGTTCAAAAGATATGTCTATGGATTAGGGATGGGCATGATTAATCGATTAATCGATAATTGATCATTAAGAATTTCATCGATGACGTTTGTTTTAATCGACAAACCGAATGTAGGTTGCTGTACGTAGCGTGACCAAATACATGTGTCTCTCTGCATCAGAAGGAGCGAGCAAACACAAACAGTGGGTCAGTCTGCAACGTACCGAAGCACAAATGCGTATTTAACGATGATTTGTACAAGAAATTCCACACTTTCCGTTGCGTCCGGGACAAGTGTGAGTCCATGTGCACAGTTTACAAAGCAGGAACATATGTTTCAGTGTCCAGTGGGAAAAATCTTTGCCAGGTGAGAGTCGCTCAATGTTGATGACGAGGCCCCGACCTCCCCTCCCCCGTACGGTGTCCTGGGTTTGACAAACGCAAATATGTTCACACTAACCTGTATTCCACTGAGTCATGTCTTTTAATCCGACAGAAATTGACCGCATCAGCGACACAAGAGCTGTAGTTTTATCTTCGCTTAGTTTATGTAAATTAGTGATGTGGTTTTAAGTTTGGTTTCTGTGAGAGTTGAGCAAAACTGAATTAAACACATTATAATGTCAAACGGACTGATGTGGCTCTAGAGTGGTTACGGTTTATATGTCGTGAAGTTTAATTTATTTATGCAGATTAGTAGTGTAGATAGTAATAATAATGATGATCATTTTAATGTAAAAACATTAATGATTAATCGATAATCGATCGTTAATTCTTCCAACGATCGATTAAGAAAATTTCATCGAATGCCCGTCCCTACTATGGATAATGAATGACATAAATCAATAAACAACAAGCATAATACATGAATAGAATAAAAAACTCAGAGTGTACCATGAGACCATGCGAGTTTGGAAGTAAATGCTAAGAACCAAGGAAGACCAACACACATAAATCATTTACATAATACATTTATAAAGTCAACTTCTCTCATAGAGCACAGAGGGCACTGGTCCTGTCTCACTGAGGTAACGTTGATGCCCTTTAAACCTGAACATCTTCTACTTTCAGAGTCAATTTACAAGCAAATGCTATTCAAAAGATATGTCTATGGACAACGAAAGACATAAATCAATAAATAATTGATGTAATACATTTGTAACAATCAAATAATAACCTGCATAGGTCTCTGACAAGGCACTGGCCGTATCTCACAATGGCAAACCCGTCTTCTAGTTTTGGAGTCAATGAGCCTCATTCATGAATTTTTTCTTAGCCCTAACCCTAACTAACCCTGACTTCCACTTTAAGAAGGTGCTGAGAGAACTCTGCCCCAGATTCACAAAGCGTTCTGAAGCAGACAAACTCCTTCTTAAGTGAAGTTGCGCTGAATTTATCAACACCCAGCGAAGAACACCTCCATGCTCTTTTACATCTCATTTACATATAAAATGAATATGTATTTAATTAGAAACTCCCTCTGAACTTCCAAATATGGCCAATATGGGTTTAGTATTATGACACGTGAAAGTGCGAGGGAGAAAGTGATGAGGAGGTCAGGTGGAGCGTCTACAGACTACGCCTGTTTTACAGCTTCAGCGGTGATTTCAAATGTCCAAACTCACATGAACACACTTTTGGTAAATAGTGAGGGAAAAGGGCTGAGGTGAGGGTGCTTAAGAGTGTGCTCTGGTCATGAGAGTTCAGGGGGTGGTCCAGTGTGGTCACCAGGAGCAGGGCTGTGACAGAGGCCCATATGGAGGCACTGGGGCTGGGACAGACTGAGACTCACTGCAGCCTGTTAGACCCACTAAACTACATGCTCTACAAAACATAAATGTTATTGCATCACACAGTCATATATTTAATGGGAATAATTTAAGAAATTATATCACTTATCATCATGGAGGAATTAAAATTTTTAGTTGCATTATCAGAGTGATAATATTCTAAAACAATAGAATTTCTGCATTGACTTCATGAAAGAGGCCCAATGATATGATTAATGAAAGACAAAAATACAGTATATAAATAATTTGCATATCAACTTTTAAGTCATCGCATAGAACCTAGTGCAAACATGTCAGAGTCAGGCCCGGGGGCCAAATTTGACTTGCAATATAATTATATTTGGCCCTCAAGATCCTATCAAATATGTTTTAGAGCTGCCCCCTGGCTACAGATAGACTACAGAGACATTATTTATTTAAAATTTTATTATTTTATATTATGCTTGTTCTGGATTCAATGTTTAAGCAAAACTATTATTAAACTTTTATTTGAATCAGAAAAGGTTTAACATTACATATCTCGAAAGAAGAGAAAACGTGCAGATATTGTTGACATTTTTCAATAAATATTTAGTTTGGCTCATGACTTAGTCCCAGTTTTTAATTTTGGCCTCTGTGAATTTGAGGGTCGTGGTCTTCTCGTGCAGTGTTAAACTTACTTTAGGTGCACTGTGTAACTTTTCTGGCAGGGGCCCACTTCAAGCTTGTGTTCATAGAAATGTCATTGTTTACCTGGAAACTTCCATAGTATAGCATTAAAGATATGTATCTTGCCTTTTTATTTTATTTTTTTCAGTTACATGTGTAAACAGACATCTTGAAAAACATGCATTCTTCTTGTAAGCGGGCTTGCCTCTGCACAGATCATGCCTGTAACTTCACCTGTTAGTCTGTTAGTGATGCCATAATAGGTGAGTTTCAGCTGACGTCATTGTTATTAAAAGCCAGCGTTGCATACTGGGAAATATTTTGGTTGGAGGCAAGAAACAGGATAGAGGTCAAACACAGTGCGTAACCTTGCGTATTTATCCCCGATAATGGTAAATTCCTGCTGCATTATCAGATGCACAAATAGAAGCACGGAAGAAGGAAAATGTCTTTTTCGTATTCTGAGTGAAAAGAACCTCTAACGGTGAATTAAACGGCTTTCAAACATCCGCAGAGCAAACGTAGAAGATCCGAGCAAACCGTGGACTCCAACAAGTTCAACAACACATCAAGACTCTTGAAGTCTTTCATCTTTTCTGCTGTGAATGGCCCAGGAGTTTCCACCAAGTCATTGTGGATATCGCCAAAGTGAATATTTGTCCAGGTAGTTGGCGATTCTGACCAGAAATTTGGTTTGGTCCACCTTTTGTCGGGGTTGAAAAGGGTGATTTGGCTCCATCGATGCTTATGACCAATTTCTGGTCAAATGGTCTTGGGTCCTCTGCCGTTAGAGTGGATAAATAACAGTGTTGTGCATGAACGTATTTTGACGGGGACGCTCGTGTAGAGCGTCAAAAAATAGGATGGATCCTATTTTCTGAAATCTACACGCACAGGACGTGCTGCTCCGCGTGCATATTATTTGACTTGGTACATATGTCAGTAACGCGCGTCACAATGCTTTTTTAACCTGGATTGAAATGGTGGGTTTTTCGTTTTTCTTCATACAAATTTGCTAAAATCACCGCGATATCAGCAGCGGTGAAACGCCGGAGGTGCGCCCGCGTAGACCGTGATCCTGAGCGAAAGAACCGACGCAGAAGCTCCACCGAGCTAAACGCAGCTGACGCCCGATCGCACTCGGGGTTCTCTCAGGGGCGGTCCTAGATTCCAAGTTCTAGTCCAGGATTAGTCCTGGTTTGGTCCTGGTTTAGTCTTGGTTTAGTCCTAGTTTAGTCCTGGTTCAGTTCTGGTTTAGTCCTCGTTCAATTCTGGTTCAGTCCTGGTTTAGTCTTGGTTTATTCCTGGTTTAGACCTGGTTCAGTCCTGGTTTAGACCTGGTTCAGTTCTGGTTTAGTCCTGGTTCAGTTCTGGTTTAGTCCTGGTTCAGTTCTGGTATAGACCTGGTTTAGTCCTGGTTTAGACCTGGTTCAGTTCTGGTTTAGTCCTGGTTTAGACTTGGTTTAGTCCTGGTTTGGACCTGGTTCAGTTCTGGTTTAGTCCTGGTTTAGAC